GAGAAAAAAGTATGTATTTAGAATTAGGCAGCTGGACTCAGTTTAGATAATCCCAATTTTGTTGGCAACGTCCAACGCATCATAATCAGGAGTCTGTCGAACATATGCCTTCTTCTCTCCGTCAGCTTATTCCACTGAGCTTTCACCCCGGCCTCCCTCCTGTTTATTTTCTTGTTTTTTAAAATTTTCTTGTTTTTTGGTAGTATCAGGGATTGAACTCAGGACCTTATGCTTGCCAGGCAAGTGGTTATTGTACAGAGCTATCTCCTCCATCCTAGCTATCTCCCCAGTCCCCTCCTGCTTATTATTTATTTATTTATTTATTTTTTGGAGGGAGGATATGATAGGTTTTTGGCTGTACAATAGAGATAGAAGAGATAAAAGAAGGCTTTATTAACTCGAAGGACAGGATTGAGGGCAGATGGGTCAGGTAGATCCTCTGGCCTGAGACAAAGAAAGCTGAGGCTCTCAAGGACTTTTGTTAGGGGTGGGGCTTGAGAGGGATGTTTAGGAATACTGAGAAGCTGATTGGGGTCTTCCCTGAGGCGGCGGGAAAGGTGAAAGGAAACTGCACCCTGGGCTGTGTTGGAGGAGAAGCGGGAGGTGGTCTCTAGGAAGATAAGCTGTTGTTGTAAGGGCTTCAGCCATACTAGATGACCACCATAATAGTTCAACAATTCATACTAGGGTCAAATCCTATCAGGATCCTTTTTATTTTTCTTTGAAATTGCTTAATTATCATATTCCCCAGAGTTATGCATCAGAGCTCCACAATTTGTATTTTTTACATTCTTCTTGCAAAATTTCATTCAAACTATCAGTTCTGTGGCTGAATCCCTCTCCTGAAGTCAACTACCAATCATGATATCTATATTATTGCTACTTGATGATTTAATGTACTTTAAAAGCAGCATGCCCCACACTGAATTCCATGTCTTTTTACAATCACATTGTCTTCCTTTATTACTTTTTAAACTAATGGAACCAAGATGATTTCATTAGGTTGAGGAGATGTTGGCCAAACAATATAAAATTTCAGCTAGATAGATAGGAAGAATAAGTCCAAGATATGAATGGTACAACAAGATCATTATAGTTTAGTAACAGTACTTTGTATTCTTGAAAATCACTGAGAGTGGGTTTCAAGTGCTCACACCACAGAAAATGCTGGGTATATGAGATAATGTATGTTTATTGGCTTCATTTAGCCATTTCATGAAATATATGGTTCAAAACAATGTATAAAAAATATAAGGTTTTTGTACATATATAATAGAAATAAAAGGCTGTATAATTAAAATTTTACTACAGTTTTTAGACAAAAAAATAAATAAAAAATAAAAAATATAAGGTTTTAATTTGTTAATTGAAAATATTTTTACAAGTGATAAAAGGAAAAGAGACAGAGAGGGCTGCATTTATCAGCCTAAGAATCAGAAATTTGTATGAGGGTTTTCCAACTCCATTATCACGTATATCACCCACCATGTCTTGCCTATATAATCTGCTTAATGTTGATCAAATTTAATTCACTTCCCCCTTCCTCTTCTCATTGTACCCATTTCCTCTCTTAGCCTCTTCTATTAGCCTTTTCTTTAGCCTCTCTTTCTATATTAATAAATCTTTAAAAAGTGTATTAGTTCATCATTATAGTGCATAATGATTACATTTATTGTGTGGGGTTGCTACATGTACATATTAATTCTTTTTTTTCTTCTCCTACTCTTTCCCTCCCTGTTGACTTGTTTTTGTGCCTCTATCACTTACATATTCATTTTCACGCTTTGTCATGTTTTTCTCTATTTCCTTTATGCAGCAGACCACGTGTCAATTTATGGCATGTTTGCACAAACCCACAGACCATCAGGGGAATTTTTGTTTGAGTTCGATGAGGATGAGCAGTTCTATGTGGATAAGGACAAGAAGGAGACGATCTGGCATCTGCCGGAGTTTGGACGAGCCTTTTCCTTTGATGCTCAGGGTGGATTGACCAATATTGCTATAGCAACTTCAAACTTGAACATTATGATCCAGAGGACCAACCATACCCAAGAACCCAATGGTACTGCCTATCTGTACTTCTTTCTCTGTCATACAACTGGGAAGGGATGGGAGGGCCCCATCTGGGAGACTGAGATGCCACTGCTAAGTGATGCTCTTCCCAGAGTGGCCATGGGCTTATTCAAGATAAACGTTGGGCTGAGTGACATTGATCAGTTGATTGAGACTCCTGGTTCTGACTCAGGAAGCAGGAGGTCCCATGAAACCCAAACCTCAGATGATATCCCAAGGTGAAGCCTTTGTGATTCATTCCAGAACACGGGGCACTCAGCAGGTTTTCTCCTCTCTTAGATCCTCCTGAGGTGACCGTGTTTCCCAAGGAGCCCGTGGAGCTAGGCGAGCCCAATATCCTCATCTGCCACGTGGACCAGTTCTTCCCACCTGTGCTCAACGTCACATGGCTGAAGAATGGACAGCCAGTGACTGAAGGTGTTTCAGAGAGCATCTTCCTGCCACGCACAGATTACAGTTTCCACCAGTTCCACTACCTGACCTTCCTTCCCAACACCGAGGACTTCTATGACTGCAAGGTGGAGCACTGGGGCCTGGACGAGCCGTATCTCACACACTGGGGTATGGAGCCTCGGTTCCCTCCATGGCCTCTATTCCCGGCACTGGGGCCTCCACCTCCCCTTTCCCCTCACCCTAAGGTGCCATCAAGTGGTCTATGACCTTCGACCTCCCTACACACCCAGATCAGCCTCACCCCTAATCTTCATCTTTCCACAGAGCCCCAGGAGCCTGTTGAGGTGACGGAGACGACGGCGACTCTGGTCTGTGCCCTGGGCCTGGTGGTGGGCCTGGTGGGCATCATTGTGGGCACTGTGCTCATCATAAGGGCTCTGCGTTCCGGTCACAACCCCCGGGCCCAGGGACCCCTGTGAGTTATTATGGACTCTTAATAGGGGATCTTAGGATTTAGGAAAAGAAGGAGGGTGCTAGTGTTTGTTTTATCTAAAGACAGGAGGAAAAACTCTGTTTCATAAGGTATTCATCAATCTCTTACTCGATTAACAGCACAGAGCTGTATAACCATAATAGTACTGATAATTTATTGAGTGCTTAATATGCTTAGGCACTGTTCTGAGAATTTGCATGATCTTATTTTACACTCACCAATAATCTGTGGGAGGTGGGTCCTGCTGCTGTTATCATTTAACACAGGAGAGATATCTATTTTTTTATTTTTTAAAAAATTTTATTCATTTTAATGGGAAAAAATAGCAATGAAACAGTTTCTAAACAGGTTAGTAGGACAGTTACAATAATTAATACAAGGGCCGGGGAGATGGCTCAGTAGAATAAGCACTTGCCTGGTAAGTGCAAGGGCCTGAGTTCAATCCCCGGTTCCGGAAAAAAAAAATTAATACATTGCATATTGTTGTTTTCCTAGTAATTACTCAGAGGACAAGATGGAGACATGATTTTTTTTTTAAAACCAAGTTGGTAGGACAGTTTCAATAATTAACACATTGCATACATTCTTCCTAGTGGTTAATTGCTGTACAAGATGTGGATTTGTTATCCTATTTACAAACACTATTAGAACAAATCCCTCTATTCATTAAGAGAATGTAACTATATATCTATCCTAACCACCTTGAATACACAGATACAAAATGGACATTCATCTGTATACCCTTTTTTTGCTATGTTCCATTATTTGAATATTATAGTTGTGTTAACTCAGCAAATTATTCTAAAAGAGTCCAGTAGCCCATAATAGTATTGGGTCTTCCACTTCACTGGCAATGTCAGAAATTGTTGACCTGAGTCCCCTACAGCTCAACATAACAGCATGGCTTTACTTCTTATACTTCATTTCGTACTTTTCTGCTGGATGGTTAAGACCAAGGTAAAGCAGGACCTATGCAACAAGAGTTGTAGCTTTTGGGTCTGATAAGGTCAGTGAAATCCCCTCAGGATTTTTCCTGAGATCCTGTACCTCAGATTGTAGAAACTTTGTCAGTGTTAGCCATGTGGATGAGTCACGGCCATTGCTTGGCCAATGTGCTCTCTGTAAAAGCCTGAGAGAATGTTTTCTCTCCATGTGACTCTCCTTAGGCACACTCTACATCATCAATCACTTTTCTCTTTGGCCCCATAATCTCCTTGATCAGAAAATTTAGGACACTACAGAATTACATGACGTTACAGTACAAGTTCTCATATGTTCTGAGACTTAATTGACCTTGGAAGGCTAGGGCCAAAATGTTGGCTTTCCTTGCAGCCTTCCTTTTTCTGTAATTTTGGTCTGCAAACTTAGGTTGTTAACCCTCCAGAAGACAAGCTTATTGTTATTACCATACAACCTAGGCTGTTAAGCTTAAGTTCACTCTCTGTCTGAATATCAAACATCTTAGACATAACATGAAACAGATATTTTTCATCAAGTTTTGATATGTTGAACTTTAAGTCCCTACAGAATATGATGAAAAAACATTTAAAAATTGGAATATATTTTAAAAATAGGCATAAAGAATTATATAATTCTTATGTTTACACATAAGTCCAAAAATCTATCCATAGACAACCTTGAAGCAGGACAGTCCCACAACATTCCTTTTCCTGTCTCTTGCCTTCATTCATCACTCCCTTCTTTTTGAACAATCATCTACCCAAGAGACAGCACAGCAGCAACTGGCATGTCATGACAAGCAGCCCGTATTCAGAAGACCAGAATGACAGGCACTCCAAGCATGAAACTACTATTACAGATGACCATCTTCAGTGCAGTTACTTAGTTCACAGGTATCAGTATATATAGTTAGTCAGGGTGAGAATGGAAAAATTAACCGCTAGATTCAAAAATCTTCTGGAGATTCTCAGGATCATTGCCTTGCCCATCTTCTACATATAGAAGAGATATCTAGATCTTCTTATACAGGGCAGCATTGGGCAGCTAGATCAAGGTCACACACTAGGAGGTCACGAAGCTAGCTCTAGAATTCTGGAAGTTTAGATCTATTGGCTTAGTCATTGTCCTACACTACTTACCTTACAAAGAAAATGCAGTCTGAACTCTCCAAGAGCCAGATCAGCATCTGTACACAGTCACAACATGGTGTGACAGGCACCTAATGCCCTGTGTGCTCTCTCCTTGGGTCCCTGATGGGCAAAGCTCGCACTGCATGTTTATGTTTTCATGTTTCTGTCACTCTTTGCCCACTAGCTGGTGGTCTGTCCACGATGATGGTCACGTCTTACTCATTATCACCATCATCACTGTTCACGCTGGACCCGGGTGCAAAGGCCTACGTCAGTCAGACTTGTCAGTGGGTGACTGTCCCGATGCGCTCCTCCACATTCTCTCTTGATTTCTTTATTCTATCCTCTGTCTTTACGTGCATATCTAAGCTCCATCCTCTTCTATAGGTAAACATTCTATAGACTTGATGGGTTTTTCTTTATTTATATATATCTGGTATAACATATAATATTATTTTAAAAAACACATGCTTTTGTAATTGACCAAAACACTATTATAGTATAGATATAAGTGTGTGCATATAGTCTGTTGCTTTCAGCTATTCCATAGTATTTTATTTTATGCACCCAGCTCTGTGTTCCTCTTGGAGAATCTGGATTATTTTTGGTTCTGCACAATGCAAGGAAACGTTTACATTCTCATAGGGACCCACATTCCTGTGCTCTATGTGCCCTGAAAGAACTGCAGGGTGACTTAAGGCACACATACATGGTTCACATACTACCAAAAGAAGAATCAACAAAAAGGGAGAAATTGCAGAGGCAAAAGCATGAGGAGAATGTTATCACACAAGTCATGAAGATAATGAATTTATGGAAGGAAGAAGCATTGTGCAGTTTCAGATGTTCCACAGAGGCCTGTGAGAGAATGTACGTTGGTTATGAACCTCTTTCACAGAGCAGCTTTACAGTGTGGGCAGGGATTCTGCCTTCACAGGCGCCACTCCAGAGTTAGCTCCTCTGCCCTCAACAACGTGTCTCAGCTCTCTTTGAAGATGTGTTGGAGACCTGACATGTGTGGGATGTCCCTGAAGTCCATTGGGGACTGGGTATGAGGGTCTGATGTCAGGATCCTCCTGCTGCTCACCTGAAGGACCAGGTCACCTGCAAAGTCCCCTTTTCCCTGGGTCCTCAGGAGGGCAGGCAAAAGTGGGGATTCGGTATAAGGCAGATAGGGAAGGCGTGTCTGAGCTTGGAGGCCTGAATCCAAGGATGACATTTGTAACTGTGTGTATTGTTGCAGGTGACAAAATTCCTGAAAGAAGATTTAGGAGAAATTTGAATTTCAGATGCCCTACAAGCTCTGTTCTCAACATAATTCTCAACTCCTGTGCTCTCTATTCCACTGACCAACTTCCTTGAAGACCTTGCATGTCTATGACTGTGCTACCCTAAACTCACCTGATGGCATTTGAAGACTCTTCCAGTCCTTCTCTGTGACTTTAAGACAACTGGTCCTTAGTAATATTCCCAATACGTAGAAGACAGTGCATCAAAGCACTGGTGTGGAGATCTATCTGTTTACTCGGCTTCGTAGTTTTGGGTTTCCTCTGCAAAGCTTTTTGCTGCACCCTTCCTGAGAATACTGAGACTAATAAATTTTCAGTACTTCAGAGCCAAAAGAGTCTGAGTTTTCCTTGCTATCAATCTAGGGTTGGTCATATATGACCAATATTTTATGAAGATGTGGTTTCAGGTTGGCTTATGGGTATAGTTACATATGCTCTCCTTTCATGAGGGTGGAAAGGTCTGAGAATTTTAATTTAGCCTTGAGTTACTTACTAAGTACAATGGCATGGTGAAGAGAAGCTACTGGGAAAAATTTTGTGTTGATTACGATTTGATTTAGTTTAGTTTGAAAATTGCAGTGATTGAATCTCTAAGTGAAGAGCCAAGATTTCAGGCCGAGCTGGATCCGATCCACAATCCTTGAAGTTTCTTCCCATGTCTAGATTGTAACTAAAGTGATTTCCCATGGAATACATTTTTCAAATAATCAACTATGAGTTAACAAAGAAAATAAGAAAGCCCCCTCATTCATTCGAATTTAAGTTAGAATCAAGGATTTGAGAAAAACAGTGCTAACAATGGAATAAAAATGTCTTATCTGAGCAAAGATTTTTCTTTAGAAAATGTCTTCTACATGTTAATATGAAAGTATAATATAGTAAATACACAAACAAATATAAAAGGCTTTTCTATTTTTGTTTTTTATTGTAATTTCTTACTGGAAAACAAATATACAACTTGGAATGGATTTGAGGTAAATTGTGCCGTAAGCAGATTTTTTTTTTTGGGTGGCTAAACAAAGTTTAAAAATCAAGTAACAATAAAAGAAAATGTTTCTGGTACAAGACCAGCAGTACAAAGAAATAGTGTACAAGTACCAAAACGAGTACCCGTTTTGCAGTAGTGCAACTTTTAAGTACATATTGTTGACGTCCGCAGCCACATGGAGTTACAGCTGCACACTTCAACAACAACATGCTAAAAGTCCTAGGAAAACTGCTTTTAAAAAGGCAGAACCAGATGTTCCCTCATCTGGCCAACTCCATCTAGGTTTAGATGTGCAGAAGGGCTCAGATATATCCAGAGTGAGCCACATGCAACATGTTACTTGATCAATTTTCTACAACAAGGTTTCGGGACAATGACAGTAAGATAAGGAAGAAAACATGGAGGAATGAAGTCCTAAGTACTATACATGCATATATATATATTTTTTTTGACAGGGGGAAACCTTTTACAGATAAGTTACGAAGAAAAGGCCAATACATTTCTGTAAGAAGTTTAACACATTCTGTACAGCATCTTCACTTTGCTGTCATCATTTGTACAAAGTCTTCATAGTTTTCTTGGCCATCACCATCAGTGTCTGCTTCCCTGATCATTTCATCAACCTCTTCATCTGTTAGCTTTTCTCCAAAGTTGGTCATCACATGGCGAAGCTCGGCTGCACTAATATAACCACTGCCATCCTTACCAAATACACAGAATGCTTCTCTAATTTCTTCCTCACTGTCTGTGTCTTTCATTTTTCTTGCCATCATTGTCAGAAATTCAGGGAAGGAGCTGGGGAGATGGCTCAGTAGAATAAGCACTTGCCTGGCAAGCACAAGGGTCTGAGTTCAATCCCCGGTTCTGAAAAAGAAAGAAAGAAAGAAAGAAAGAAAGAAAGAAAGAAAGAAAGAAAGAAAGAAAGAAAGAAAGAAAGAAAGGAAAAGAAAAGAAAAGAAAAAGAAATTCAGGGAAGTCAATGTACCATTACAATCCACACCTACTTCATGAGTTATGTCCTGCAACTCCGTTTCTGTGGGATTCTGCCCCGGAGACCTCACTACAGCTCCCAGCTCCTTTGCTGTTACAGTTCCATCACCATCCTTGTCACACAGTGAAAAAGCTTCTTTGAACTCTGCAATCTGCTCTTCAGTCAGTTGGTCAGCGACGCTGCAAGCGCTACTGGTTTCCGAGACACAAACACCCAACCACCGGTTTTTCTATTTTTTTCTTTAAAAATTTTAAAGAACTTTGTAAAATAACAATTATAACAATGTTTTTTCTCATTTGTAACATAACTAGGGTAAAATGTATGACAATGACACTACAAATAACTAGGGAAAATATTAATATAGTATCACAAAGCTCTTGCATGTTACTACTTGAAGGTAAGAGTATTAAAGACGAATATTTTAAACACAGGAACTACTAAAATGATGGTTAGCTGATAAGCCAGTGAAGAGGATAACATGGCACGATCCAAAATAAGTGAAAACAAATTATAAAATGGTAGAGTTAAGTACAGTGATAGCAACAGTTGAACTAATTGGTTATCAGTTAAACACTCTAATTAATTGAATATGAGCTAAAAACTAATTGGAAAAGGTTGTCAAAATACACACAGAAAAAGCATAACCTAACTTTATGCTGTCTACATAATGCCTACCTTTAAAATGAAGACAGAGACAGGTAAAAAAAATTTTTTTTAAGGAAAAGTAATGTCAATGGTGAGAATATTGGTAGCTATGTTAATGTTAGAAATATGGAATTTCATTGTGGATAAAATTGGCAGTCTATAGAGAGAAATCCGTCAAGAACATATTATAATCCTAAATTGTGTATGTGCCTGATAAAAACCATCAGAGCACATGATACATTAAAATAAAAGCAGCGGGCTGGTGAGATGGCTCAGTGGTCTAAAGCACCTACTTAGAACAAGCTTAGCAAAGCACAGGGACCGCGGTTCAATCCCCCAGCACCACATGCCAGTCACCCTGCACCCTGGTCCACACACACACACACACACACACACACACACACACATAAATAAAATTAAAAAAAATAAAATAAAATAAAAGCAGAAATAAATTCACACTTATATTTTAACACTCCGGCACAATTGTCTCAGTAAACAGAACAACTAAACAAAAAAATCAGTGTATGGAATATTTAAACACCTTAATCAACCAACATTATCTAATTGAAATGACCTATTCTGCTGTCACACACAATAACAGCAAAATATACTTCATTTTCAAGTGGACATAAAATATCTAGATGATGGGCCCTACTCTGATTCATAAAGAAAAAGCTCTGTAAACCTATAAGGGTTGAAACTATACAGAACATATTCTCTGATCACTACAGAGGTAAATTAGAAACCAATAACAGAAAAATAACATGGAAAACAATTGTAAAATCCCAAGTATGCAGAAATTGAAAAAGCTAACTTCTACTTAGCACCTGCTCTATAGAGGAGTCAGAAAGAAAATTAGAAAACATTTTCAGTTGGATGAATATGAAAATGTACTATATAAAAATTTGCATGATACACAATTAGAGGATAATTGATAGCTTTATAAATTTAGAAAAGAGGAAAGCTCTAAAAATCAATGATGCGTGGCTCATTCTTAAGAATCTAGAAGAATGAGAAGAAGGCTGACTAGAGGAGGAGTCACATCAGAGATACTTGGGAAAGATGAACTGAAAACACAGTGACTGGAGAAGTGGAGTGTGGAAGGCCACCTGGGTGACTCTCACTGAAAGAGGAGCAGCTGTCTCCATGTTGGCTGGGCCTGAGCCTATTTCCAAGTACAGAGCTGGCTGGGACTTCTCTTCAGCTGGCTTTCAGCAATGCACATTAGTCTAGTGCTGGCGGGAGTCTCTGAAGGCTGTAGGCAGTGTTTCCCCACAACCCCACCTGCTGCTCCCTAATGTGAGCTGGGTCCAGGCAGGACGAAGAGCCAGTGCTCCACGCTGTCAGCTGGGATTGGGCCTCGAGATAGAGGCTGTGACTTCCTGGGCTTGAAGGTTACTCCTCAGAGCTGAAGCGCCAACCCCAGAACGTTAGACGCTATCTTGGTTGTGTCGTGCAGATTACCCTTTCTGCACATCCCTCTCTCTGCTTCCCATGGAGGAGATTGCAGGCCTCCCACCTAGCCCAGTTCAGGTGTTCACCTGCTTCCTGTCATTCTGCCACTCATCCTCAAGCCACGCCCTTCTTCACAAAGGAATAAAGCCTGGGTTCGGCCTTGGGGGGCAGATAGCCGTGGTCAGGGCTGGACTCAGGACCCCACAACTGCAAGTGGGCCTTCGTGTCTGTTCTCACTGTGGATTGCACTGGGTGAGGCATATTGGAATTAACTTGATGGGCTTCCAATAACTTTATCTATGGGATTATAAATATAAACTTCCAAGCCAAACCAAACCAAAACAAACCAAACATAAACTTCCTCGGCCTGCAGGAAGACCAGGAAGGGCTCTCTATATGGTGAAGACACTTATACCCTGATATAGAAAATTAATGTCAAAGAAGATATGTGTAGATCAAACCAAACATCTGGGAAGCAGTTTTAAAAGGAGAGGGCCAGGGAGACAGTTCACTAACATAAGTATCTGACTGGGAAGCACAAAGTCCTGAGTTCAATCCACTATATATATTAAAAGTTTTAAAAGACAGAAAGTGGCTCCATCAGGGCTGCCCCACCCTCACCACCCTCACTCACTGCAGGAGCAGCCATCTGGAGAACTTCCCAAGTACCTGAGGGAGCTTGCTGTAAGGACTGGTCTCCTGGGGTATACAGGCTCCTTCTCTCTATCAGCTTTTCCCTAGAGACACTGCACCCCTGCAGCATCCTTGCCAGTGCTCACCAAGGGCACAGGAGCATTGTCCCCTAAGCCACTCCTGGCTCTGCACAGTCACAGACTAAACGACTGAACAGAGACCACTGTCCACCTGGGCCACTGAACGCTGCCTGGGCTTGTACGAGTCTCTGGCACACCACATCACTCCAGCTGTGGCCCTGGTAAGTGGCCGCTGTTCCCCTGAGCCTCTGCCTGTTGCCTCAGGTTGCTCCCAGGCCTGCAGAGTCCCTGTCTGCAACCCAGCAGTGGTCCCAGGGCTGCCTGCTGACTCTCCGCTCAGCTCCACAAGCCCATGTCCTTCTCTGGGCCTTCTGGAGGCTCCATCTGTCACTCCACATCATTCCCAGGCCCTCCCAAGCCTCCACTGCTGGCCCCAGCCTACCTGAGTCTCCTCCTAGTACTCTGAGTTGGTCCTATGTCTGCCTAAACACCATCTGGTACCCAGCACTGGTCCCAAGTCTCCCTGAGTCACTGCCTGGTGCCCTGGGACCACTTGAATCTCCCTCCAGTGCCCTACATGCTCCCTGCACCCACCTGAGTCTCCACCTGGCCCTGTGTCAGTTTTGGGACCTCATTAGTCTCCATCCAAAACTCCACACCCACCTGGGCTTCAGCCTGGCACCCACACCTGCCAAGGCTGCCACAACTCCTCGAGAGGAGAGAGTCCTTAAGCCAAGACTGGGGTCAGGGTGAAATTCTGCTGGGGAGGGGGACTGGGAAGGGGAGAAGTTCGTGGGTTGCACTGAAGCAGACTGCACCTAGCGTAAGAAGGGACTTGTGCTGACACACAGGCTACATGGCACATAGAACACATGGGAGCTGCATGTATGAGCTCTTCTTGGAGCATTGAATTGGATCTTCATCATCATCATCATTATTATTACTGTATTTAGTACAGTGTCTACAGGGTCTCACCACATAGATCTGACTCAGTGATTCTCCTGTTTTCAGCCTCCCAAGTGCTGGGATTACAGGTGCACGCCACCACTCTCAGGCTCAGTCCCTGTCTCAGTGCGCCTCAGGGGCTGTGCTGGTGCGGGACGCAGGATAGTGAACCCTGCTGCTGTGTCTTTTTCATTATTTTGATCTTATTTTCTCCTTTTTTGCACTGATTTAGTACTTCCTGTTTCCCTCTCCCAATCCTTTTCTCCAATTCAAGCATCTGCAGCAGTGTTAATTGCTTAGAGTTGCTTGATTCTCCCACTTTTAAACTTCCTGTGAAGGTTTTTCTTATATCCTTCTGATACAGGGAGAAAAACTGATCTCGGGTGAGTGACTCCAAATGACACAGGGAAAAATGATCTTGTGATCTGACCTGGATGAGTTCATGTTCTCTAAAACTGAAGAATGAATTTTAGGAACACATGGAGATTATGAGCAGAATATATTTATTGAGAGAAAGAAAGCTCCTGTCTGAGAGAGGGATAGGATGGGGGCCTGAGTGGGTTGTCCCTGGGAAGCTGTCTCTTTGAGGGACTTTCATAGTGTAAAACCATGCGGGGCTAAAGTGGAGAGAATGGGAACGCACTTAGGTGGACAAGAGGTGGGACAAAACTCTGGTCACCCAATGGGATTACAAGCACCATTGCTCAGGTGAAATTGATTAAGCCCAGGACCAAATGCGGAAGCGAGTCACATAGCAAACAGGCATGAATGTAAAACAGGACCTTGTCTGGTAGCCATCAGATAATGATTCTTTCTGGCTTTCTCAGGGTGATGATCATCTTGGATGCCAATCTTTAGGGAGGTCAGCATTTGTTTGCTCTTCGGTCTTTAGCTCTGGCTCACAGCAGGAGCATCCGTCCCTCCCACAGGTGCAAGGTGTCTTGTCTTCTGTGTTGTCTCCTTCTAGGGCCTGGCCCCGTCTGACTGCCTATAGTATTTCTAGCTAACTCTGCTGCCTGCAACATTTCTCTTTCTCAGTCACCTCCCCATTCTTTTGTGTTATTCTTCTGGCTTCTCCAGTCTATTGTTTTTGCTCTCCCTTATCTTCCCTAGCTTCTTCTCCACCTTAGAGGTACATGAATATATCAGCAGGTACTGACAACTTGGCAGCTATTTCAATCCAAAATTACCTCCCCCTGCATCCTGCCCTCCCCCGTATTTTCTCTAAGCCCTCAATGCTAACTGTGCATCCCAAATAGAAAAGCTCTCCAACAGAACCTGACCCCTTACCTATTTTTTACTTATTATAATTTCGCCTATCTATCTCTCCCCCTACTAAGTTACATGCCTCTTTCACTCATCCTTCCATCTCTTCTCTCTCCTTCTCTCTCTACATCTTAGACTATTAATAACAATATAGTATAGATTACAAA